GAGCACAAGACAAGCACAAAGCAAGATACAAGAGATACATGCTTCAAGAAGCTTGGATTAAGATCCTTGAGAAAGTGAGAATCGTTTGAAAAATGCACACCAAGTGGCATATTCTATTGATCTCATTATAGTGTACTTCCACACAAAGTGTGCTTAGAAGATGGCAGCCATGGACAGTTACTTCATTGACTGTTTCTGGGTTTGTTTGTTTTTACACATTTTCCTACTTTCTTTGCAGTATCCAACAGTAGCGGGTTCAACAGGCAATTATGTACTAACCATAATATTATAACTTTCATCTCCTCATGAACAGGAGATGATCCATTCTGTGATCCGATGGATTCACAAATAAATATTCTCTATGGAGCTGCAATGTCCCAACATATTCTGGAAGTGCCCCAATACGTGTTCTGGTGGACTTGGAAGATACAATCCACATTACGTATGTGATTACTCTTAGGAAGTGGGTGCAGTGCTGGTGTAAGTGTGTAGTACTGTAACTCTGCTTTTAACTGTTCTCCCAGCCCCCATTTTTTTTTTTTGCTGTTTGTTCCACCTTAGCCTGTCTTAATTGATCCATTCACATTGACTAACGTTTGGATTTAGAGATGTTGCTCTTTTATTTCTTGGGTTAATTGGATAAAAGTGTCAGGCATATATACGACCACTATGTTTCCTTAGTTGTTCCAGGCTATCTCATCCCGTCCCCACCCCCCACCCCCCACTTCTGATGTCGTATTGAAGCAAAAGTTGTTGCAGATAGAAAAACATAAAAATACACACAAATGGAGTAGTTATATAACTTTTAAGGCAGATGAGTACCCTTATCGCATTTAATTTGGTCCTCTGCAGGGTCATGCAAAAGGACAAGTGGGAAGGGAGAGAATTAAAGAAGGGAATGGGTGGGCAGGTATGCGTGCAGCTCTACCTGGGCCTTTTCCCTTAAATTGCTTTTTCTCTCCTGAAGCTAGTTATTTTTAGTCATTAATGGCTAAAATAATTTCAAAAGGAGATTGAAAAGAAAGAGAGATGTGATTATGAGGGTGGAGAGGTTACATGCATACACACCTGCTCATGTTGTGCTTTGAAGCCTCCTCTTCCTGCTTTGCGAAAATTCAACAGCATCTGCTGCCACTTTTTTTCTCGTTGTGGCCCCAGCGCTCGATCCATTTGTCCCAGCATCCCGGTTTGTGTGCCTGTGAGTGCAGCCATGCATAGATTCTTTCATTACTGAGCAGAGGACTCTTCCCCAGGTCCAGAACCCTAGAAAGTTGCAACAATGTCACTTCGGCCCTGCCGGAAACTAATAAAGCAGGAGAGTAACCGAGTGGATCTCTATGCCTGTAATATGCAACGTTAAAAGGTAATGAGAAAATCAATCCCAGCAACAGCAGTAAGTGCAACAAAGACCCACGTAGTGTTTGTTGGGGCCTGCCAAGGGAGCCAGAGGGGCCCATGTGCTGTGTGTTTCATGCTGTGCCAAGTTTTGTATGCCATGACTAGCTGGATGTTCATGTAGTACCACCCCTTCAAAAGTGTGAACAATGAGGCACACAGCAAAAAAACATGTACCCATTTATAATTATTTTAGATACAACTTTTTTTTCCTGTTTAGCATCACCTGTTCAATGGTGGATGCCATCCTAAATTATACACAGGACTGTATATTTGAGGGGGTAGCACTAACAGGTGTTTCTGCCTTTTTTGAGGTTAAAGCTCCAATTGCAGGGTAGATAGTAATTCTGCAATCCTGGCTAAAGAAGGGACCCCACCTCCTACTTTATAAACTTAGCCTGGTTTTGGAGCATAGAAGGTACCTATCTGACTGGCGCTGTTTGGGAGCTTTGGTTAAGGGTGTTTATTGTTTAACAACTAGCAGACTGAAAGTGGCTCATTAATTTTTGCCAATTTCTTCCTAGAGAACCAGAAACTCCAAATCAGATATTCAGCAGTTCAGTTTCAGACTCATTCAAATTAGTTCAGAATTTAACCACAATGGAAGCCAGGATAAAAAATGAGTTTGAAATTAACATGGGTGACTGGAATATTTTCTTTCCCTTCGTCAGTTCTCCTCTCCCATTTATAGGAATGCATCCATGTATCCTTGTGTCCAGACAAGCATTTGAAAATGCAAAGTTACTAAGAGTAGGAAGTATATTCACATTCTAGGAGTGAAGAGCAGGAATTGTTACTCCCTGGCCTAGAAGAACAGGCACTTATCATCTGCATCAGTAAAACTTCCCTGCTTAGTAAATTAAACCCAGTGGAGAGCAACGCACCAACTAGTATCATCTGTGCTGGCTCCTGCCAAAATACAAGGCACAGCACCTGGTACCTACTGCTGTGTGCCCAATGTGAAGCTTTTTTCTCCTATTGTGCATATTTTGTATATCCTCCAATAATATAAAGGAGTATTAGATTGGCAATTCAAAAGAAATAATTGAATCTATCATAATGATACCGTCTTTGTTGTCTCAGCCAGATGCCTACTTAAGACTTGTATGTCTCACTAAAGTGAAATTCTCATAACTTGGAGGCATTCTGCCTATCCCTATCAAAAAAATAGGGCAAGTGAATATCTCCAGCTTTGATAAATTGATTACGTGCCATTAAGACATTTTTAATCCTTAACGTCCATATAGATAGACTTTCTTCGTAATGGTCTATCCCTAATATGGTCTTTAAGGTTTTCCTAACAGTTAAGTACCTAACACCTTGGTAACTGGGTCCACCCATTCTTGCTGCTGGTCATTTTCTTCTCTTTCCTTTCACCGGTCCCAGCATTAGAGCCTTCCCCAGAGAGCTAAGTATTTGTATAATGTTTGTAAAGTAAGATCATTTGAGTCTGGTCATTTGTGCCTCAAGTGAGAACTCAGAGTTGACTTGTTTGATGATTCATTTGTTAGTTTTCTTGACTGTCCAACTGTATTCTCAGGAGTCTTCTCCAAAACCAAAATTCAAAATGTCAGTATTGTTCCTATCCTACTTCTTTATTCATTTCTATAGAGTGTCTCAGGGAACACCATGATTTGCACTATTCTGACCTTTGTAAGTATAGACATATCACAACAATTGAATATCTTTTCCAAGGCCTTCATGACTGCTTTACCAAGTGCTAATCCGTGGTGTATTTCTTGGCTGTTTGTTCTTTTATTATTGTGGTTGCAGGGGTGGGATTCAGCTGGTTTGGTCAAACCGGATGTTAAATTTACATCTGGTTCTCTGAACTGGTAGTTGAACCAACCAGCTAGCCCCACCCCTCCTAGGAGTCTCCACGCAGCCTGTTTTGAATGCATTTTGCTTCTTAATTTTTATTACTAAAGCTTGCAAATCCTTTGAATTTTTGGCTATCAAGGCAGTATCATCAACACAGCACAGATTATTGATGTTTCTTCCCCCAATTTTCTTCTCATCTTCTCCAGTCCAGCTTTCTTTAATATATATTCATTATAGAGATTGAATAAATGATGGCAAGTACGTAGCCTTATCACACCTCTTTGCCAATCTGGAGCCAGTCTGTTTCACCATGTTTTCCCTGAATTTTAATTTCTTGACTTATATATACATTTTTCGTGAGAACACTGAGATGTTCTGGGAGTCCCATTTTTCTGGGATTCAACAGCTTGAAGTCACCAGCCCAATCAAGGGCCTTTCTATGATTAATGGAACCCATAGTGATTTCATTTTGGCATTCTTTGGCTTTCTAAATTATCCCAATGCATCAGCAATAAAGTGTTCCTTGGCCTTTTCTAAAGCCAACTTGAACATCTGGCATCTCTATTCCCATTTCCTCCTCTAATCTACGTTGAATGATCCTAAGCACTATTTTACTAGAATATGAAATTAAAAATATTATATAATAGGCTGCACCACCTCCAGTTTTACTTTAATTCATATCCAGAATAAATAATTGGTAATATTCCTGATAGAAAAGTGAGGTGAAGTACAGTTATAGAAAAGTATTGAACAGTGTTAGATACATGTGGCATGCTCAGGACTGTGATAATTACTCTTTCATTACCTGAGAGACAGATTAATTAACTTTACTGCCTCCAGGAAGATTAATATGCACACATCTTCTTATCAATAGATCCTTAGATTTCAGAGATCCGGTTCATTTTTTTACATTGTTGTGTAACTGGACTGAACAGTTTTGGGACCTGACATTAAAATACTAAAGGGCTTGTAATAACAAAGATGTGGAGTTGTACTTGTTTATCATCTCTGATGAGGAAGGGGAACAGGGAGAAACATTTTACAATTTAATGATTTTTGACCTTAGCTACTGTCTTGCAACTGCCTCTGGTCGATGAATCAACAACATGATACAAGATTATTCTTGTAACACAGGAATAGGTTCAGTAATTAAGCATAGGTGGAGCCGATTCATGCTGGTTTCAAGGAGCATTAGGACTTTGTGGTGTCCTGGGCACTACAGACTGCCAGACATAACCATATAGCAACAGCCCTAGGTTTTGCTTAGGACAAGACAATTTCCTTTTCTCCACCATGCCACCATCCTTTTCTTATTAGTTTCGACGTGGTCTTGTTGGCACCATTTCACTGAGTCTAAATACTGTTCTATAGTTGTGATTAATTTACAGTTAAAATTAATAAAATCGCAACTGTATAACACCAAACAAAAAGTTAATAGAATAAGAGCCAAACAATTAGTAAAATGAATAAAATTTAAAAATGAATAAATTAATGATTTCCAGTATAAAACCCAGAACCTTCTTATGGCTAGTACAATCACACGCACCTTCACAATCCTCCTGCATGCTTCTGAAGATGGTTTCACTAACAAGAAGAAAGATTTGCTTTTTCTGACCAACTAAATGATTGATTAGCACAGAGCTCATTAATTCAGAGTACTAGGCTTGATACAGAGGACAACATATATGGTATCAATTGCCTTAATGCAAAGGAGAAAAAAATGCAAACTTGAGATAAAATGTTATATAACTCCCTCCCTAAACCATTTGTTTATTTTATTTTTTCAGGAGTAGGCATGAACACAGTCCTCCATTATAAATTATGTAGTCAAGTTTTTCCACATTTGGGGAAATTACATGGGTCAGCACACCCACATTGTAATGAATGAGTCTCAAGTGGAGGGAAAAAAGCTCCTTCGTGTTCATGGTATCTCCCTTGTCAGCTAAGTATCTCTCCAACTATTTATGTAATCAGTGTAAACAAGCATGTGATAGATCTACCTCATAGGTTGCCATTACAATTGCAAGAACTTTCCTCCTCTTTCGCTGTAAATCTAGGCCAAGAACTTGCTTTTGTCTCTAAACAAGCTCCCTCATACTTTAGCATCATCAAGGGTTAAGCTAGGCTATATACTATAGTCAAGCTTTGCTTCTAAGAAGAAACACATTTATCAGATAGGACTAGCTGGGCTAAAGATCCCTCTATAAAGGTTAGCTTTACTCCATACTTTAACTGGCAAGATCTTTTATAAGTGTCCACAGAGGAAAAGCCAAATTGGAAGTGCAAAAGAGTACTTAACACATATGGGGAGATACATAACATAGTTCTTGTGGATTGAATTACCTCTAAGGTTCTCATGTCATTATCATTAGAAAAGCAGGACTACACTACACAAGCATAAGGCTCACTAAATCACTGTAACAGCTTACATCCGAACATTTTGATTTCAGAATGATACCCACTACAGCTAACAAACTGAGTCATGGCATTCCAGATCTTGGTGCTTGAACTATTGTGTACCTACACAGTTTTGGTTTCTCCAAAGTTGAGGATGTTTAGATGAAGGTATCTAGATATTTGACGCATCTTTGACTTGTTCTGTTACAGATGCTATTATGTGCACTTGTAAAAGCAGTTAGCTTGCCTCTTAGTGAATAAAATGTCTTCTGAAAGTGGGTGGACAATTTTTCTTCATTACAAATTGTTGTCAAGGCTGCAAGCTCTGGCTGAGACTCTTGTGTGTCAAGGATAAGATGCCTGCATCATCAGCATAGAGAGGAATAATTAGTGGTTTATTTGTTAACTTCTGATGAAATTTATCATTTATTTATTTAACAAATTCATATAGCTGCCCAACTCCCACATAGGTGACTCCAGGCGGCTTACAACATTGACTGACTCTAGCGTGCCCTGACTGATTCTGGACAGCTTACAGTCTTCCAAAATGTTAATAAGGTTACAATTAAAATTAGCAATATAAGCAAAACAACCTAACAACAGAATAAATAACAACTTGCATGCCAAGTAACAAGAAAGGCTGCCTTCCTGGAGCCCCAGAAGGTCTTCTAAAACAGACCTTAATGTCTTTGTGAGAACCAATAGGGTAGAGAAATGAAGTTCCACAGAAAGGAGTCAGAGATCGAGAAACTTGGTTTTAGGCAGAACTTGAAGAATAGAATTGATGGAAAATTGAAAAAACACCCTTAATAACTCCTTTTCCAATCAGTATTGCCAAATCCACCAAAGGTGGTGCTTCTATCTGCATGTAAACTACTTTACGGTATGTAATATTACAATTAATCAAAGGCACTCTATAGTTCTTTCTGCCAATTTCAACCACAGGTTCTTTGTAGATATTGAACTAAAGACTGCCTTCAAATTAATGAAAGTGGCACACACTGGGGTTGGCTAGCATGTGCTGCTGAATACTGAGAATCTATCTGAAACCTTTTCCACAAAGCTCTTCTTGTAAAGGTATATGAGATCTTATAGAGCCAGGTTAAAAGCTCCTAGCTCAAATACACCTTGGCAGGGAAAACAAAGCTCAGCTATGCAGTAGAGCATACAAAACGTTTGCTAGACCCATACTCGAATACAGCTCATCAGTCTGGAACCCACATTACGTATCTGATATTAGCACAGTTGAGAAAGTCCAGAAATATTTCACAAGAAGTGTTCTCCATTCCTCTACTCGTTGTAGAATACCTTATGCCACCAGACTCGAAATTCTAGACCTAGAAAACCTTGAATTACACCGCCTTCGGTCTAATCTAAGTATGGTATATAAAATCATACACTGCAATGTCCTACCTGCAAATGAATACTTCAGTTTCAATCGTAACAACACAAGAGCACACAACAGATACAAACTCAAGGTTAACCGCACCAAACTTGATTGCAGGAAATACGACTTCAGCAGCAGAGTGGTCAATGTCTGGAATACTCTACCTGACTCTGTGGTTTCTTCCCCAAACCCCAAAATCTTCAACATTAGACTGTCTACTATTGACCTCACCCCTTTCCTAAGAGGTCTGTAGGGGGCATGTATAAGTGCACCAACGTGCCTACCGCCCCTGTCTTATTGTTTCTTTTATTTTTCTTACATGTACCTGTTTAATGAATTCATAACTATGTTTTTACTTATACCTATTATCTTGTAAGCGATTGACAAATCAAATAAATAAATTAAATAAAGTTATGTAACTACCCCTCTACAGACACTTGTTAGAGGAAACTGAAACTTAGTTCAGTTATAGAACGTTTAGAAGACCAAACTGTGCTAATAAAAGTGGAAAAGATCTTGGAAAGGGAGAAGAAGAAAGTAACTTCCTGGAAGTAAACTATGTTCATGATATACGACCTCTGTGTTCTTTCAAAGCTGCATTGTCATAGTTATACCCTAATAGCCTCAAATGATATGTGTTACCCAATTAAATTCCAGATTGCTGTATTGCTCAACATCACATGTATATTCTAATTTACATAAGTTTGTAAAGAAGGACTATTGCTGCGCTTCTCTTTAAGCCTGTATTTGCCTCTAGGGCTGTCAATAAAGTTATTTGTGTTGCATAGTAATGTGTCTTGGTCTCCAGTTCAGACGGAGATCATGACAATTAGATATTTTATTGTAAAGGAAAGCTGAACTCAATCCCTCTTTATTGGCTTTCAATCCTTCTGACTGAAATATCAACATATTTGGGGTAGGAAAAAAAATGAAAGAGAAAAAGAAACAGAAGCAGGAGGAGGAGAAAGGGTGGGTAGAATGGTAGCATCTGCCACTCATTGTGTTGCCTTAATAGTCTCCATTGCTCTACATCATACATATCCTCACTGTTCCTAAAATTATTATGTTTTTATTAATTGCTGTAGCTGAGAGGTGGGCTACCTATGAATCCTCAGGGATCTGCAACCTTGGCAACTTTAAGCCTGGAGGATTTCAATTCCCAGAATTCCCCAGACAGCTGGCTGGGGAATTCTGGGAGTTGAAGTCCCCCAGGCTTAAAGTTGCCAAGGTTGCAGACCCCTGCTCTAAAATTCCAATTATTGGTCCTAAACACTGAGGTTATTGGGAATCATAGATCAACAATAGTTGGAGGGTACAGGTTTCCCAGCCCTTTCAATCTGAGCTGCAAGGGTTTTATTGTTTTTTGTTTTGGAGAGCCAAGTTTTTCTTTCCCTACATAATTTGTATTCCAAATCTACAACTCACCCTCAAATGATGTACCACTTGTTTCCAATTATGGTAATTTAAAATTAGTTTACTGATGATAGAAAATGTAATTGGATAGGATAGGGGAAAACCAACATTAAGTTGCAATGTAGAATGAAATAAAAATCCAGAATGGGACAAGTATGCAAATCTTCTGGTCTGCTGATGGAGAAAACAGTGAAAGCTGGGATTTCTCATGCTGTAGATGCCTACTTGACTGCACTTCTGTTCCCTCACTGGAAAGCATACAGGGCTTTTAACCAGGCTTTTGTTTTCAAATGAAATATCACCCCTGGATTTGTAAATGTACAGACTTCAAGTTTTTTAGCTTCAGGTGAGTCTCATTGCTCCCTTGACTAGCACAAATAAAGTCACTACTGACCTTCTTCTAGCATCCATTAGTCTGACTCCAGACTCTGTGAGACACAAACAAAGGTTGACCCAAGACATGGCTGCCAGAGGAAAGGCAAGGTGATACTCTGTCCCATTCCATTCCATTTCCTGAAGGCACTGGCAGCACAATCAGAGTTCAACTCTAACAAAAGAAATGGATCATTCCCCACATCTGACAACGACAGCAGGCTATTTTAGGGGATGAAGGCTAGACCATGGGGCATATACTACTTGGTGATCCAAGAGATGAAAATAGCCTAAGACCACAGAGAAGCCACAGAAGAATCATCTCGGTGGATTTTATTGTTGTCCTCCAATATCTGCTGCCTGAAGCAATAGTTTCACTTTGTCTAATGGAATAAATGGATGAATACAGCACAAACAAAAAATTTCCCTTTTTCTTTTTAGAAGCAAGCCTGTTAACATCTTTGCTGATTAACACAATTTATTAAAAGGCATATGCTTTTGTGATGCTCATTATGATAAAGGGAACTGCAAATTATAAAAATCTGTTGCTATTGCATGATGCCTCAGGAGACTGGCAATAGGACAATTAATATCTATTCGGAAACTTTTAGAAGTGGTTGTGATGGAGGAAGGTCAGGGTATGAAAAAGCTTAGGTTTCCAAAGACATCCCAATGTATGTTGGCTTCTTTCTAGAGGCACCTGAGTCTCTGGAAAAGGAAATATCCCATCAGGGCATCAACTAAGGCAGGCATTAGGCCAGGTTGTTGCCTGCCAGAAAGTTAATGAATTATGATATAATGACAGTTTTATTGCCTTCTTTTTGTGATTTTTTGATGAACATGCCAGAGAGTCAATCTCTTCAGAAACAACCAGCCTGACAATGATTCAAGAATAGAGCCTAAGACCGGACTGGCCCCTGACAATAAGGCAGAAATGGGAAGTGACAATACAAAACACAGTCAAATAGATCGGGTTCAGTCTAATGGCAAACCAATATTGCCCATACGTCGATTTATGCTCACCAACATTCTAACACAGAGATTTTTGTTTAGCTTTTCACCTTAACCATTAAGTGGATATGCCAATTAGTTTCAAATTTAGGATTTCATACTTGTTACCATTTTTAGCCACAAATTATAGAGATTCTTATACCATGATGAGAACCAGGATTGTTATTATGTATACATGTGAACAAGAACAATTCAAGACTGGTGCTTGTTATGCTGTTAAATCTTTTCACAGACAAAAAAGGGGTATTGCTCTTAAACTGAACTCAATTCCTAGCAACCTCATGGACACAAGACAGTTTTCTTGCAAACAAAACAGAAATGGATTTCCATTTCCTTCATTTGGATTTTTTTTTTAAATTCCCCTGCAGCC